TATATATATATATATATATATATATATATATATATATATAAAATGATTCTATATAAACATACAATGCTTCTACATACATAAAATGCTATAAAATTGATTATAATGCTTCTAATTCTGGGCCCCTTAATAGTAAATATGGGGGCACCAATGGTGCATGGGCCCTCGGAATTGTCCTAACTACATACAGTAAGTACATCTACATACTGAAATAAAACTTCAGTTTGGAATGACTCTTCGATAAAGCGGTCGTGTTTTCACTCCAAAGTGAAAGTGTCCTGTTTTGAATTACTGCACCATTTGACAAAAGCAGAACTTTGAGCAAAAAATTATTTTGAGCTGCTAATGGGTGACAAATGGTGACAGGGAGGGGCAATCTTGGTTCTGGAGCGCTCTAACACTAACCAAACACACCTTAACATGCTAATCAGAGCAAACTCACACTATGCTATCTGAACCGTGCCCAGGCCTGTTTCCCGGATCGTTTGAGAAGTGTGAGTGCTCTGAATCAGGCTCAGGCACGGATCACTTGGCCGGCACTAGCCCGGTTGGAAGAGGTGTGCCAGAGTACAGTTCACTTGGGCTTTGGCATGGTACACTTAGTATGTGAGTGCAAAACGTGCCCGAGCCCGAAACTGAAAGCGAGACGTGACTTTTAAGGTACTGTTTCATATGGATTTATTAACCAATCTTAATGTTCAATGAACACAAACTGCCGTAGATTATTAAAGACGCAAACCTCCTCACTGCACGACAGCTCTGCACCTTCAGCAAACCTCCTCATTCCTGCAGCACAAGGATTTTATGATTGTTTATGAGCGTCAAAAGTGGCTGATCTGTTTGGCGAAATATTTGACTGCATGTCACTGCATATCAAACGACTTTGTGTAAATAGTGTGAGTACGCCCTCTGTGTCATCAAGATCACTAAAAAATGCAATATGAAGGTGTATTTGATTAGGGTTGGAGCTAAACTCTGCAGGACACCAGTCTGTTTATTTAGCACTGTGGTCCTGCGAGACACAACATTCTTAAAACTGTATATCCACACATGTAGCGAAATGACAATCAAGCTCAACTTCACTTAATGGCTGAAACCAATTATTGCTCTACAATTAAAAAAAGATTTCAGAGGGCTCCAAATCTATGAAGCAGAACTGTAGCTGTATGCAACTAATAATAATAATAATTCAGTCACTGTAGGATAAACCTACTTTGTCCATGTTTAACCTCAATAATCCTGTTGTGTAATAGTGTTTAATTTTACAAAGTGTGGCAACTCTTCTTTTTATTTCTGTCTTCTTTGGGTTCTGTGTTCTGGCCTCTCAGGTGTTTGTGTTGTTTCTCATGGTCTTTTTCTTTCTTGTGTCTGTGATTGTTTTGTTGGTGAGGAATCCACTGGCCTTATGGCAACAGTCTTTTCTGTTAAAAGGCTGTGTGATGACCTTCTGGTTGACACTACGTTCTTTGTGATATCTAAATGCTCATCTTTCACTGAAATTATTGACACACAAGCAAAGAAACAGCACATGTAAAACTTGTTAACTCAATAGATCATAAACACACAAGTGTCTGGTACATATGTCTAGTTATGTCTTACTGAATGGGGGGGGCAATCCTTCCATACTAACTGTATGTAAAAGCGGTGGACCTAAAAATGAAAAGGAGGTAGACAAAGCCGATCAGAGGAATAAATCAACTGTAAAGCCATGTAGGGTTTAAATCTTACTTGTGTACTTTTTGTTCATAGGTTAGTAATAATCTGTTCTTTAGAGTGTTTATAGGCTAACAACCTGTGTGTTTATAATGTAGGATAATAATATGCATTTGATTATGATGTATAGAAATATAATACTCTATAGGAATTGTTTATAGGCTAAAAATAATATGTTTTTATTGTTTGTTTATAATGTAGGATACTAATAATCTATTAGTGTTTGTATATAGGCTAGTAATATTCTGGTTTGTTTATAAGCTAATAATAATCTGTTTAGAGTTTGTCAAAGGCTAGTAATAATCTTGTTGCTTATAATGCTTTAGACTAACCACTAAATGTATTTTTTTTTTTATCTCTGTGCCAGTTGATAATTTACATTTACTGTACACAATGACTGTAAAAAATCAATTTATAAATGAAAACTTCAAAATGTAGAAACTAAAACCTGCTTTTGGCAATTCAAGACACTATAATCACTAAATTAACTAATACTAGAGTTAAAAGAGTTTCCCACCAGCACCACATGGTGTCATCTGTTTAATTACACATGTCTCCTGATCGTCACAACCTTACAGGACAGAAAATAACAAGATATTATGAAAATCATGTAATTTGGTATGCTGTATCTTTTCCACACAAAACATGGAAAAATAATAATAATACAAATCAATGATTAAACCACAATGACAAATCCCCATGTCTTGATTAATTCAGAAACTGACTAAATGTCAGTAATTCTTACAAGTGTATACAAACATATGCAATAATTTAAGAATGGGATATTTGCTTTGTACTGGTTACTGTATATAGGGTAGATCGTGTATATAACAGGGAGAGTTGTAACAATTCCACAAATCAGGGATGAGATGGAAGTCATGTAATATGTTCAGTTTCCTCAGGTTAACTTAAAGGTTCATGAAACCCTCTATACTTTTTTTGAGATTTCGACAAATTTGTGTGTTGAGCATCAGTTAAGACAATGTTAGCACCTGTCAGCTTTAATTGTGGGGAAAACGGGATAATTTTGAGCTTTTGTAAGCTAATTTTAGCTTCCGGGTTTAAAATGATTTTTGCGGCAAAAATCAGGGCCAATACAGCAAAGCTGTGTGTGCAGCAAGCATTTTTGTCTGGAGAGCAGTACGAGTATTGGAGAATGGCGGACGTTGTCTTTTAAGTTTTTTCACATTTAGACACATCGCCGTGCTGCTGTGTTCCCCTAAATCCTCCGGCAGGGCTAACGGTTAAAATAGACAGGGCAAGAGACCTGCTGCACTGAGTCTGCATTCAGACCCAAGGACTGAGGCAAAAGTCCTTATTTAAAGAGTTTATATGAACACGATAATCTTTATAATGATATAAAATGTGGTTATGTGTATCTGAAATTACAAATGTAGCAGGGCATTAAATTACTGTTTATTTCTTTGCATTTTAACTTTGTAAACTATAAAATCATGGGTCTCCGCATAGTTTGTGTCTCATTTTGTGAACCGACTGACAGTTGTTCGCTCCTCTCCTTCTTCCCGGCTCTGCTGGCCACGCCCACTATGATGCATCTTTTGAAAAAATTCTGAGGTGGACCTGAACCGAAAGTGGGGGGTGTCATGACCCTTTAACAATCACACATGGAGATTTTCCCAACCCAAGCTCATTCTGGAAACATAGCCCCGCGGACGTTTCTGGAGACCGCGATTTACGTGGCCGGAGGTACATAAAGGCCGCATTTAGTTTTTTTCGAGCGAATGCTGCGGGGCGGTATGGCACCGCTACGCCCCTCCTCTTCGCGCTCGCCGACCGACGGCTCGGCTCCGAGTGGAGGGCTTTCCCGATGCAATCAGTTTGTCCGCTTAGCTCACAGCGTTGTGTCGGCAGAGCGGAGGCCCCGGAGGAGGAGCCGGCCGCAGTGGACAACGACCGGGATCGAGTCCGGGGAACAGCAGTTCCAGAAATCAGGTAAGACAAAAAACGGAATCCGAAAAATGAGGGCAAGAATGCGGCGGTATCCGAAAACGCGGTCGAAATCGAAGACGAGGGCTTTTGTTTTTTTTTGTTTTTTTCTGGACGGCTTTTGCGAACCGTCGCTCGGGTTTAGGGAAGGAGGAGGAGGAGAAGGAGGAAGAGGAGGGCGGCCGAGTCGGCCGATCCGGCGGCTTTTCGTGTGAGAACGGCGCGGGCGCGAACAGCACGCGCTCCCGAGAGGCGCCCGAGACGCGAAAAAGCGCACACAGCGGCCTCTCGCGGATCCGCGAAAACAAAAAACGCTCGAATACGTACCTCCTGGGACGTAAATCGCGGTCCGCAGAAACGTCTGCGGGGCTACGTTTCCACAATGAGCCCGGGTTGGATTTTCCAGTCTTGCAAGCTAACCCTAATCCTGAAACTACAATAGAAAATCGAATTCTGAGGTAAGAAAGTAAAAAAAAAAAAAAACAAGATAATATTTTGTTTATTACCTCTGCTGTTGTAGATGATGTTATATGAGTTATATCAGGTCAAATTGTAGTTTCTTTAGTAAAGAATGGTGTATCAACCGTCTGCTAATTTAAAAAGCACCATGCTAATACAGCTAGCTAAACAGTGGGTAACAGAAGGTGGGGTAGGTTGAAACACGTGTTTTGAAAGAATACAAACACACACACACACACACACACACACACACACACACACACACACACACACACACACACACACACACACACACATGAATGTGCACATAAAGACATGCAAAGAGAAATGTACTTGTGCTTGCACAAACACAAACATTACGCAGTACACTTCCAATATTCACATATATTGTATTTTTGCAGTCATTTATTTACAATAAAACTGTTGTTATGGCATATCACTTGTAGTACCCTTAGTTTTTGTGCATTTTGTCAACCTGTTACAACTTACCCCGTATGTGTTACAACCTACCCTAGTAGTGGGGTAGGATGTAACAGAGGGCAGGTTGTAACAAATGACCACTTTTTATTTGTCGTCATCTCACGACACGATCTTATCTCAAGTCTGATATAGTTTAAGAAATTTAAATGGTTGACATTTGTAGTAGACAAATGTGGGTACTTTGCCTGAAAAGTTTCAGTCATGTAGCTTAAAAAAAGGTAGTTTTAGGTGCTAAAGAAAAATTGTGTTATACAATCATCCCCGGTCTCCTACAGAGGTTTGATAAAGTGTTGGTCAGAGTTTAATGTTTTAGATCATTAAACTGATTTAAATAGTCAAAGATAACGCAAGCAAACACATCAGGCAGTTTTGAAATTAAGGTTTTGGTTCGTGTTTTTATTTTTATTTGTGTGTGTGTGTGTGTATTGGACTTGCCTGGATTAGTTTTGGAGCCTTCAGCCATTTGTGATGTTCATGCAACTCTGAGACAGATGAAAAATCCACAGCCTAAAGAACTAAAAGTTCATGAATATCTTTAACCTGAAGTTTAATACCTAGTTTTAGTGAAAACTTAAATTGTTGACTTAATTCAAACCTTTAAAATGAACTTAAAATGTCAAACTACGTAAATAAATGTACTAACCTCCTCGCTAAAAGCTTGGTGCTCGTCTCAGCTTGCTGTCAGGTCTGAACAGATCTCTCTTTTTTTGAGGAAGTGGTTTAGTAAATCAGACAGGTACTTTCCTTTATGGTTTGCATTAAACCGGTTTTACAACATCAAGTTAAATATTAAAGAGAAAAAAACAGTTTCAAATTACTCGGGAGATTATAACAAAATAAAACAAGCAACTTCCAAAAAAACGAACAAAACTGAAAACGTACTACACTTTCCTTTAAATCAAGTGTTGTACTGTTTAGTCTGATTCATGCTAAGAAACAGGTTTCCATTGTTTTGTTTGGGCTTGCTTTGCTTCCCCAAGTGCCAATTGAATAGTTGTTGAATAACTTTGCATAGTCGTGAGGTGAATTTCATTGCTTTACTTTCACTTCTGCTTATCCAAGTTGGACAACAAATACTTGTGCACAAATCAAACAATAAGCCTACATCAGAATGACCATACAAACCACCAAATATCAGACGCAAAGGTAGCCAACAATGAAAATTCACTCACTATTTGCTCTCTCTCAAGTGGTTTTAATCCTTTATGAGTTTCTTTCTTCTGTTGAGCACAAAAGAAGATATTTTGAGGAGAGTTGAAAACCTGTCACTATTGACTTACAGGAAAAACAAATACTATGGAAGTCAATGGTTACAAGTTTAGAACTTTCTTCAAAATATCTTCCTTTGTTGTTTAACTGAAGAAAGGAACTCATTAAAAGTTTTAAACCACATGAAGGCGTGTAAATTATGACAGAATTTACATTTTAGGTGAACTATGCCTTTAATATTATTTAAAAATCACCTGTCAGACTGACAAAACTCACATGATATTACTGTCTATTCATCAAGTAAAGTGACAACTGTTGGACTTTCCCCTAGTCCCCCAGGTTCAAAGATCAGTCAGAGGCTGCAAATAAGTTCAAATTAATTTAATGAATGAAATGGATAAAGCATACAGGGCCCTGCACTTAGATTTTTTTATGTCTTGTTTCTAGTCCAAATATCTAAAAATTGTTAAATCAAGAAGAATTTTCTAGATAAACAAAATATATTGTCTTGTTTTAAGAAATAATCTGCCAAAATTAAGAGAGTTTTTCCTTAAAACAGTCAACAAATAGTCTTATGTCAAAAGGAAAATAAAAATTATTTTGCTTACCCCATTGACGGATTAATTTGCTTGTTTTAAGGAAAAACTGTTTTAATATTGGCATATTATTTCTCAACCCCCCTCCCGCCCTCCAGTACTTCAGTAAGAAAGATCCTTCATCCAGATTAGCTGAATCTTCAGTTGTCAGGCAGAACAAATAATATGCACAGAAAAAGTTACACACACGCATAACAGAACACACAAGAGAGAGTGAGCCTGCACCCTCCCATCCACGCTAGATGGAGATTGCAGCGCAGCCTAAAAGAAAGAATTGTAACATTTAAATGATAACAAGCTGTCAGAATTTATTTACCTTCTCGTTTATCAGTCACACGAAGCCACAGCTGTTATGGAACAAAGTTATATGAGCACACAAACATAAGTTCATATATTTGATTAAAATACGATTAAATTATTAATGCATGAAACAAAGTTTAAAAACATCATAGTTTTACAATCAATCGTTACAACACCAGAGATAAAGTCAGACTACATAACAGCCTTATTGTAATATGTTTTTTTTTTTTATCCAAGAAATAGATGCTTTTTGACAATATGGATTTTATATATAATATGGATATCCATATAAGTATATTTTGCAATATACTTGCAAAAACAATTAGGCCAGAACAATAAGAAAAAGCTCACATATATATATATATTGTTGTGTACAAAAGACTGAAATCAATTCTTGGTCAAACAAATTCTTTATTTTGTAAGCTTTCATTACAAATCACATTACCCCCATGATAATTTAGGGCAGGGATGTCACACTCAATTCCTGGAGGGCCGAAGCCCTGCACAGTTTAGTTCCAACCCTGCTCCAACACACTTACCTGTAGGTTTCAAACAAGCCTGAAGGACTCAATTAGTTTGATCAGGTGTGTTCAATTACGGTTGGAACTAAACTGTGCAGAGCTGCGGCCCTTTTGGAACTGAGTTTGACACCTGTGCTCTAGGGGGAAAAGATGCACATGAATTTCAGCATTTATTTGAATTTGATATACTGTATGTATATTGTCAGATAAAATTAACCAACATTTGAGTCATATTTCATTCAAAATAATGATAAATATACTGTTTTAAGGAGTATTTAGCTTCTGCCTTGGAACCCTTAATAAGCACTTATAACACATAAAAAAAGCCTTCAGTAACTTGTAAGCAATATGGATTCATCACAACTTAAGTACCCTAAACTGTGATCATACTATATGCAGCACACTATGCACCCATAAAGTGTATAAAATGTAACATTTTACAAGCAGTTTAGTTTACATAAAAAGTGTGTTAATTTCATTTGAAGGAAAGCTAAGCTGTTGCTCACTAAACAAAGATCATAGATATATACACTAGATATCACATTCGGACCCTGAGCATGCGTCAATACCGCCGCCATACATGTACAGTGCTCCCAGAACAAAAGTCATTTAACAGCTCTAGTCAAGGCTAAAGCCAATCTGAAGATGTTGGACTTTAGCGCTGTGTACAGGTGTAGTAACAAGAAAAAAAAAAAGAAAAAGTATTTAGGCAGAACAATTCATAGATAAGGTTTCATTTATGATTTTGTATGCATCAAACTTTTGTGCTCAACAACTAATGTTATTGATGATAATACACTCTCTTACTGCACTGACCATCAGGCAAAATAGCACCAACTTGCTCAAAATACTAGACTTACGCTAGTTTTTTAAAAATAAAATCAGCAAACAACCTAAATGAAATATGACAACAAGATTCTGCGGTGCCAGAAACCTGTATTATAATCGGCTAAGTGAAGTAAAGGCTAGTTTTTGAAGTAACTTACTGTATATGGGTGCCTGATAACATAACTGTGCCTGCGCCTCAATGTGCATAACGTCCACCAAATGATTGAATAATAAAAAGGCTATATATTATTTAGATCAGAAATGTGGATATGCACATTGAGATGCAGGGATATCGATGGTTCACACGAGTCGTTCATAACAGAGATTAATTCACAAATGAATCGCTTCCTCTGTTAGAATTTGAAGTGAAAGCAGGAGGAGAGAAAGGGGATCTGATTTAACAGGGAGGGAGATTAATACATTTCCATGCACACAAACACATTCTCTTTGTCAGCAATGCCCATGCGGTCAATTATCTATCGATTTAGAAAAATGCTATAAAATTATAATTTTCCTAATTTAAAAAAATATTTGCATACGGATCACCAGGAAAACTCCCGATCACAGATATATTTATATATTTGTATATCTCTGGCTCCGGATGGCCAGTCCTCCACTGCACCTTGGTCCCGCATTCATTTCAAAGGAGCGCTACCCTGTACCAAAATGGCGGCTCTATTGACGCATTCCTTTCAATAATCAACAACAGCATAGGCGACATCTAATGTAAATATCTATGAACAAAGATTATATGATACATGATAAATGCGCTGCGTCATTTAAAATACGTTTTTGGAAAAAACAAACAAATTTCTGTTTCTCAAACAAAAATGTATAAAACATGTTCAAATGTTATGAATACTTAAGAATACAATGTCAGGAACAAGCAGTTTATGCTTTATGTTTGATACATTTCTGGGCCTTCTTGCGTTGGTGTTGTGTCTAATTTGTCTGTGTCACCTTCTAAATCTGTCATTGATTGCTCTTGCTCTGTCGCGTCAATCTCATTTTTTTTCTTGAGCCCTTTCTTCCTCTGAGGTCTCTGGAGCTTGTGCTGTTTGCTGATCTGTTTCACTGTCAGTGTTATCTTCTACTGCGGATGGACTTCTGCTCTCTCTGTTCACTGTAACATTGACACAAAAGCAAAAAAATAATAAATAAATTTAAATACATTTATAACTAACCACAACCACAAAAACATTTGCAAATGCATTAAAGAACTGTATTGTCCAGGTTGACTTCTCTCTCTCTCTCTCTCTCTCTCTCTCTCTCTCTCATTTCAATTCAATTCAATAATTGCTTTATTGGCATGACAAATGTTACAAATGTATTGCCAAAGCAGTTATAAAGTTTACATAAAAAGTAACAGTTGTACCATACAATTGAAGTCAGAATTATAAGCACCCTTTTGATTTTATTTTTTTAAATATTTCCCAAACTATTTTTAACAGAGCAAGGAAATTTTCACAGTATGTCTGATAATATTTTTTCTTCTGGTGAAAATCTTATTTGTTTTATTTCGGCTAGAATAAAAGCAGTTTTTAATTTTTTTAAAAACATTTTTGGGACAAAATTATTAGCCCCTTTAAGGTAATTTTTTTCCGATAATCTACAGAACAAACCATCGTTATACAATAACTTGCCTAATTACCCTAACCTGCCTAAACCTAATTAACCTAGTTAATTCTTTAAATGTCACTTTAAGCTGTATAGAAGTGTCTTAAAACATATCTAGTCATATATTATTTACTGTCCTCATGTCAAAGATAAAATAAATCAGTTATTAGAAATAAGTTTTTAAAACTATTATGCTTAGAAATGTGCTGAAACAATCTTCTCTCCAGTAAAAAGAAATTGGTGAAAAAAAAATAAACAGGGGCGCTAATAATTCAGGCGGGCTAATTATTCTGACTTCAACTGTATATCTCTTTTAGGATAAAACAGTAATAAAAACAATAATAATCAGTATATTGACAATGATTCATTTACAATCATCTGTGTGTGTGTGTGTGTGTCTCTCTCTCTCATTTAACAATAACAGTAAAAATAAGATTTTGGAGTCTTACTGTGTGTTAAAGTTTTGGTTTCCTGTTAACCTGTTGACAATTAATGGTGGGTGGACTGATTGATTTAACCCATATATTGAATATGATTGCATAAGCCGGGTGCCTCCATTGCAAATAACGAACTTGTGCACAAAAGACACAATATGTTAAAGACCCCTAAAACTCACAACCAAAACTCAAACTCGGCCGCTTCTCACTCAGGGCTGTTTATGCTAATGAGGGAAAGATCATCACTAGTGGGTAGGGCTTTCCCCTTCTGATGCCACATACGTTTACAAGTAACAAAACACAATTAAATACATCATTTACAAGCTAGAGAAAACAATGAGGCAACCATTTTAATCACACTTAAGCTACTTACACGTGTGAAATGGAGAAAGAAACTGATCCATCAACTGTGCACTGATAAAGTTAACAGTCAAGTTCTGACCAAGTCCCACACATCATTAGTCTTTTCTGATCCTTCCTTTAACAAACGGCTGACAAATACCCCGTTGTAAGCGTGTATTGCTGAAGCACTCGTCAGAAAAATTACAGAAACACAGCACAAGGCTGGGGCTATAACGCTGAGGTAGATTGGCAAAAATAAACTTTAACCACTGACTCAACACAGCCTCATCTTTGGGTAGGAAAAATAACACTAACTTTCCCTCACACTTTAGAGTAAAGCATCTATGCTACATGATTAAATGGGGATCTGCTACAGTGTCTTCCACTTTTTCTTTCTACAGTGTTTGTGGGCAGGGCCGGGGGTTTCAATTTTCCAGGGTCTGTGCGCGCAACAAATGGGTATGGCTTGAGTTCCGCATCAACATCACGCCAACACATCTAAAGACTCGTTATCCCACGATTCATTCAAACCACTATGAGTCAACTCTTTTATAGATGAATCAAGAGTTTTAAACAGTGCTCTTTCAAATTTAAGCCTTAGTTGGATATTTCATTTCACTTAGAGCTAGCTGTGTTACACACTGCATAGAAGGTCATTTTCAAAAACCCATAATAGGGGCTCTTTAATGTTTATCAATAAGAGGCTGGCTATTCACACACTGTTGCCGCACAACTGTGTTTAAATAACTTATCAAACGGATTTTTGCACAATAGTGAAAAATAATAATTTTAGACGTCTTGGTTTACGTTTTTAATTGATACACTGGAAAATGCTTACAAAATATATATTTTTTAACTGCTGTATAATTACATTGAATGCTGTCTATGTGCCTTCTCAGTAGATCCATTACAATTCTCAGCTGATCCAATAACTGTAGCTCCAGTCCACTGCCATCCACTGTGAGAAATCACAAGATATTAAAACTTGTCATTCAAAATTTATAATATATATTAATATATTTCTAAATTATATTAGGGTACACTATGGAATCTGACATCTCTGGTTATTACAAATATATAAAAAAATGCAATTTCTTTATAGTTACTGAGACATTGTAAGATTCTAAAGAAGACTATCACACTCCTCAGACCATTTAAAGTCATTTCTTACAGACTGGACGAATTCCTTCTGTACTATTTCTGCGTAGGTGTATCCAACCTAAAATTGGAGAAAAGTAAATATCATTTGTAATGTGACAACCTCAAAATGTGTTACAACCTCATTGCAGCTACACCTGTGAAATTAAACATTATTAAAATTTAATCCTCCAAGCTTAGTGTGAAAAGAGAGAGAATCATGCTATGGAACGCCCTCAGATATGGCCTATCTATTTTAGGACCTACTAAACCTGATATGCACTGTCAAAACTGTTTTTACGGTTGTGAATTGCCTTATGGGAGGTTGCTCTGCTCTGTAGACTTCTGATATTGAATATTCAACTCTACAGTTTAACAAAGTGACTTTTATTGACATTTTTGTAGTTTGAAATAATATAATGCATAATAGTCTGTAAGATAACAGAAAATGTAAAGGCAGTTTATTAGAAGGTTATTGTAGCGTAAAATACAACACCAACCCAGACAATATAGCCCTTTATTCTATTGAAAATGTTCAGAAAAGTAACTTTTTCTATCTTTTCAAGATTAAAATTGCAAGAAGAAACAACAAGTTCCTATAATGCAAATCTAAAGCATGATGTAAGGGGGGAAATAAAAACATCAATCACAAAATACTAAAACAATATGTAAATTTATGCATATTTTTAAAAGAGTGTGATAAGTAGCTTGAAGCAAAATTTTAAAAAGTCAATGAACTGCAGAAATTAGAAAAAAATAAAGAAAGAAGCTACTGCTGCAGTTTTAATGTCTTACCTCTGACTTGAAAGTCAACTTTTCCTGTTAACAAATGTCCACCATGAAAAACTCTACATGTGTATTGTCCTGAATCAGACGGTTGAACATTTCTGAGAGTCAGAGACACATTTCCTCTCTCCAGCTCCCGCATGTTCAGACTGAATCTGTTTTCAAAATCATTATTTATCAACTCCCTCTGTCCATTTCTATGCTCATAAATCAGTTCTTTCCCTTTAAACCATCTGATCGTCATGGACATAGCATTGGTTTCAGGTGAGAGATGAACAGGTAAGGTGACGTCTCTTCCAGGGTCAGCAGATATGGGGCCAATTAAAACTATAAGATTACTGTCTTCAGCTGGAGAAAATATAGAAATATATTCTCAATGACATGAATAATCCCAATCACAGCCATTCTGTAGTCACTAAAGAGTACTTAAATCACAAATATCTTTTCAACTTAACCCTTATGTGCTGTTGGGGATGTTTTCATCCACTTTGGGGGGACTTTGAGGCTTAATTTGGCAACAACTTTCTCTGCGTTTCAGCGAGTGGAATGATTTTTGGTGACAAATCTTATTTTCACATAAATTTTAGGAAAATGCAAAAGGAAAAACAATACACTCTGGGTAAATTGACTACCCTTTTGTTATGTTAGTGGAAGTTTTGGCCGCATTGACTTTCATTATAATGACATTTTTGATTGCAAAGCATTGACAGCATATAATTATGCATTCCTGATTGTTGCTGGTTTTCTGGTTTTTCCAGTTGGGAAGAGGTCAATAATACATACACATAGTAAGTGTATTTCTGCACACACACAGACACAATAATCTGCTGTTGTACTCCATATAAAAGCCAGAAACATTTTTGCACAGGCCTATTGAAAGGGTTAATAGTAGTCGGCGCCAGTGGTGTACTGGTTAGTACATCGACACATGCACTCTTGTCTTCACTGCAACCCGAGTTTGATTCCGCCTCGCTGTCCTATGCCAATCCTTCCCCTCTGTCTGCTCCCCATGCTTTCCTGTCAATTCTCTCTACTGTCCTATTTAATGAAGGTGAAAACCCCGATAAAAAAAGGGTTAAAGGTATAATATTACAAATAAAGGGTTAATAAAAATCACAAATAGTACCTCTTCCTAACACGGAAAACCACCAACAATCAAGATGCATGATTACATGCTGTCATGGCTTTGCTATCAAAAAATGTGGATATGCTGGAAGTCAATGGGACAAAAACAGCCCTCAACATAACAAAAGGGTAGTCAAATTGAACAATACACAAGGGTTAAACTATGTAGCATAAAAGTTTTCTGTCAAGAGATAAAACCATTTAAAAATCAGACTATACTGCAGCATTATTAGTGCAAGCATTTAACTCAAGAAATATACTTACAGACGACAGAGAGAAAAATGTGTTTCTTCAGTGTTTGACCTTCATGGCTGACCTCACATCTATATGAGCCGCTCTGTGATGATTCGACATCTCTAACAGTTAATGAAACATTTCCAATGGCTAGATGTTCAGCTGAGAGTCTCACTCTATTCACATAGTCTACAGACATGGTAATCTGTTTATTCGTATAACTACAAACCAGATCATCCTCTCTGTACCATCTGATCTCCATTGAAACAGCACTGATTGATGGATGGAGATAACATGACAGAACAGCATCATCTCCAGGATGAGACTGAACAAAGTCAGATGAACAAACCAGAGACAACGCTGTGGAAGAGAAAGAAAATGTTTACATTTGTATCTTCTAATAGTGAGTTATGTACAGTTCAGAAAAAAATTTAGTTACTTGCCTTGAGTAGTTTTTGACTCTTCTTTGGTATCAGACATTTTTATCTCTGTACATTTGGTGGAAAATTCATTAAAATGACTATGAAAACAAGTGTTTATGCTGTAAAAAAACATCAACATTGTGAGACAATATTAACAATATTTTAACAAAATTAACAATATTTATGTGCTGATCAATATTTGCCAACCAAAAAATGTAAAAACTTACTTTAGGCTCAGTGGTCTACAATAACAAATTCCCTATGTGATCTGTGACTCCACTTGATGATCTTGAAAATGCTGCAAATGAAATAGGTTATCTCATTAAAAAGGGATTGCTCACCGCAAAATTTTAATTATGCCGTCATTAACTTTCCAAAAACTATTCACAAACCTGCTTGAGTTTCTTTCCTCTGTCAACATTCCTGAAAAATGTTGAAAACAATATTGAAATTCTTAGAAATATTTCTTCAAAATAAACTCAAAGTTTGAATCTGGAACAAGTGTAAGGTGTGTAAATAAAACCCGTTTTTTCAAGTAATCATAAATATTTATAGAAAGCAAATCTATTCACAAAACAGAAACTATTTTAAATAGTGGAACATTTCAACATTATTATTATTATTATTTAAACAGATTACAATATGTTCCCTACTGGTAGAAACTAATTAGGCAACAGACAAACTTTCTACCCTAGACAGCAGAGTATGACACAAAATAAAATATGCTGTCATACAGGTTACTGATCCATTTAAACAAAACACAAACTGAATTTCTGTCTCTAAGTTTGGCTTTTTAACTGACACAAAGAAAAAATATTTTTTTATTTGACTATCATTTCAGTTTCACATCACTTTAAATGCTTCTTAATGATCTGGAAAATGTATAATTCATTTCATTTTCTTTTCGGCTTAGTCTCTTTATTAAAGAGGGGTTGTCACAGGGGAATGAACCTTGGACTTGAAGGGGAAACCAGAGCACCCGGAAGAGACCCACGCCGACACATGGAGAACATGCAAACTTCACACAGAAATGCCAACTGACCCAGCTGGGACTCGAACCAGCAACCTTCTTGCTGTGAGGCGACAGCACTACCCACTGCGCTACCGCAACGCATGGGAAATGTATATAGTATTCATTCATTTTCTTTTCGGCTTAATCCCTTTATTTGTCTGGGGTCACCACAGCGGAATGAATCGCCAACTTATCCAGCATATGTTTTATGGAGCGGATGCCTTTCCAGCTGCAACCCATCACTGGGAAACATCCATACACTCATTCACACACATACACTACGAACGACTTAGCTTACTCAATTCACCTATACCACACATGTTTTTAGGACTTTTTGGAAACCGGAGCACCTGGAGAAAATCCACACCAACATAGGGAAAACATGCAAACTCCACACAGAAATACCAACTGACCCAGCCGGGGCTCAAACCAGTGATCTTTTTGCTGTGAGGCGATTGTGCTACCCACTAAGCCACTGCGCTGCCATGTATACAGTATTTATCAATATTTGTAGTTTCACACAAATTATTCATTTAAATAAAATAGTAAAATGAGAGTGAGATCGCTCGCTGTCAAACTGACACTTATAGCCTGTATACAAAAACAACGTCACATAGCATCCAACATCACAAGTCTATTTCTACACATGAATCACTTTCAGAAGATTCATCTGAAAATAACAAAAAAAGAAGAAGAAAACTGTAACTTGCCTTGGGTTTTACAATCCTGTTGTCAAGAGTGAACATGGTGAACTGAACACAAACATGGATATCTGCACCTGACACTGAAACCAGATTTTCAGGTCTTGCATTTAACACGTAAGATTGGTTCTTCTGAAATGGAATCTGCTTCACTGAAAGTTCACTATGAATTTGAGAACTTATCTGAGCTCAGATGGCTGCTTTCCAAAATGCAGAGCCTGCTAAAAACAAAACATTCTTAAATATCATATACATGAAAAGAGAGGAAAGTATCTCTGAAGTTCTCCACACTTTGGTGATTTTCCAAAAATTAAACGCTGCTGGACTCACTGTAAAAGAGATCTGCGGTGTCATTTTAAAGATGACCGGTGTGGGATGTCAGAATACTTTCACACCTTTTTCTAATGACAAAATTGCTTAACAAAACTATAAATGTATGCATAGAGTAGTATGCATCTGACCCCAGTTCACTTGAGTATAATGTAACATATCCTAATGCATCTTCTATTTACATTCTGTTAATGTAAACAAAAAAAAAATCTGGAAAGCAGATATTTACAGCCAAGACTTTGCAAATCCTTCTGAAAAACACACCACAGGATAACACAACACCTTTTTAGACTTGATCTAGACAGTCAAGAGAATCTATATAAAAGGCTTGGCATCATTATTTAGCACATTAAAGGGCATTTTGCTTAACTGAAACGAAGCAAGGCCTCCAAAATTCTAACTGTTCAATCAACTTCTGAATTAAACATTAATGAACTGTGATTAGAGCATAATTAACAGTACCACTCAAGAAATAAGGGGACTGCTTTTCAGAGAATGCCTTACCACAAAATGTATTTTATAAATCACAGCTGGACTGATGTTAGCATTTACTTTCATTTTTGCATTTGCTTTTTATATATTAAGATTTGATTTGTGACTACTTACTTATTTATTTTTATTTTGGTTCGATGCTTAAAATCAATATACAGTGCATATGTGAGTACACCGCTCACAAACATATTTTTTAAATTGATATTTTCTACATAGTATGCTTTACAATATTATATTATATGTACATATTTGTGCATATACATTAGATTAGTTCAAATCGATATGTTAGGGGGAAATATATAAAATATATTTTTAAAAGAGGAAAAGTCAAGAGAAACAAAAAATGTATAAAATTTAGTTGAAATTTTGAAGCTTGAAATTTATTTAATATAGGCCTACTTTGTACTTGAATTTAAATGTATTATATTTCTATTTCTAAAGATGTTCGGTGACTAAAATATACTTTTAATAAATCTATTTGGTTCAAATGCACCAAAAAATATTACCTATATGCCACAGCAGAATGAACCACCAGCGGATACCTTTCCAGCTGCAACTCAGTACTGGGAAACACCCATATACACACATACACAAATGACAATTTAGCTTACATAATTAATCTGTAGCTACCTGTATCGTTGGACTTGCGGTGGAAACCCACGCCAACACGGGGAGAACATGCAAACTCCTTACAGAAATGCAGTCGAGGCTCGAACCAGCGACCTTCTTTCTGTGAGGCGACAGACTACCCACTGTAATTGAAATAAAAAATTATGACATTAAAAATAAGTATTTGAAAATAAGTTTAAACAACTACTCTCGTGTGTAGAAACGCTACCTAAAAAATATAACATGGATCAGTGGATTTGAAGGTTTTAGAGCTTGCTTCTTGTTGCCGAGCAACAGTCTAACAAACGCTTGTTGTTTACACGACACGAGAAGAGAGAGGTGAGTTACATAGAGGGCTAGCTTCACTCTCTGTTGAATATATTACAGCATTTATACTCTCACACATTCACATCCTTTCTATAAGAAAGCATTTTTTCCTTGACTAACAGTTGGATATGCTAAATATTGCTGCGAAACAGTGCAGACGGCTGCTAATAGCTAACAATCAACATCAGTCCGCTGAAACGGGACATGAGAAGTGCAGACATTCACACGCAACCATTTTGCTGATTGCTAAATTATTTTCATTGATGAAGGATGAGCGCTCGTGGGACTGTTGAGGGTGCGGGCTGTGTGACCTGGTGGGGATTTGGACCAGCTCGAGACCTGCTGAACTCAGGTAACCAAACGTAAGTTGAACAAGACTAAACACCAGATTATCCTCTAATGTTAAACTTAAAACTGTAACGCGAACTAACGAACTACTAAAACATTACATGCTTGGAAAAAGCCATTACAAAACCATTGATTACATATGACTAAAGTTTCAGGAAAAAGACCGTCTAACTGTTTAATCAGGTTTGCTTACAGGTGTTGTGTCGAGAAACGCAGCCCCTCGTCATAGACTTTCATTCTCAGTCTTCATAAAAAAAATAAAAAAAATAAAAATCAAAGGCCATAACTGATTAAAATGTAAAATTATTAATATTTTGATAGATAAAGCAGGGACAAGAAGTGAAACGCATTTTAAAACGCACGAGGTTTACAAATAAATGTAAAATAATAATATTGATTGTAGCCTAAAATGAGGCCTTTTTTTGGTGGGTTTTAAACAGACATTTAGGCTACATGGAACACATAAATTTGGTGTAACTGTTTTAAACTAAACTAAAGATTAAACAATTTACTTAATCTCATCTGTACTATATTAAAGTCAAACTATTTATTTATTTTTATATCTTCAGTAAGGCTTCAGTAAGGGTTCCATTAACTCACCTCAGTCACTCTCATTACTGTCTTAACTCTGTTATTGATTTTTTAAAAATCTATTGCAGTTAATAAAAGGGTGCGCCTCCCGCCACACCGGCATACATCATTTGATTGATAGATTTCTTTAGTGTGTTTTAATATTACCAGATATTTACTTATTTGTTTATTCATTTGTTTTAACTTTTATTCACTTGTTTTCTTAAATAAAATGTATTTAATTTACTTACAGTAGATATTTACTTGTTACTTTTTTAAAACTCATCTTTCTGCACTGTTTATATTGAAAATAGGGTAGAAAAAGAAAATATGTATTTCTTTGTTTGTTGGAACTTTGTTTAAACATCAAAAAAGGCAAAAAGAAAAGTACAAAACATCACATAGATTAGCTTAACTAACTAAACTCGTATGTATCCACTTGTGTTTTCATCATTGTATTTACAGACACACACAGACTGAGGCCACATGGAGAGCTGAATGTTTTGCTGGTGGGCAGTGGAGACCCCAGACACATCCTGAAGACCATCACTGGACTCATACACTCGGATACACTACATGTGTGTAAATTATGAATTCAGAGCCTTTATCACATAATACCACATGACCTAAATCAATGCTTTTGCTCATTAATAATAAGATGTGTGGCTTGTTGCAGGTTTGGGTGATTGAGAACAGTATGGAAGTTCTTGCCAGACAACTATTACTGCTGTATATATCACTTCTGCCCCCTGAAAAGATGAGTGTGCACAGTACGTATCCTAACATTACTTTTTCTGACTTTCATGATTAAGGGATGAACAATAATTTTACAGCATTTATTTATCACAGTTCAACATTTACTAATCAATTGTTAAATTATACAATATTAGTTAATTCAAATAGTTATTCAGAACTATTAATGAATGGCTGTACTGTTTAAAGGAAAAAACTAAGGTTAACTAAGGTTAACATACAGTCACTAGCCACTTTATTAGGTACACCTGTCCAACTGCTTGTTAATGCAAATTTCTAATCAGCTAATCACATGGCAGCAACTCAATGC